ACAATTGTACAAAAATCTAATTAAACCCGTGAAATATCGGATTGAAATTGTCAACAGTACGAAGTAAAACCGTCAATAAATTGAAACCGAAACCGTCCGAAAATCGAATTGGAACCGAAAGTTTATAAATCGAAACCATAACCGTAACCGTAGACTTAGGGGCTAGTTAAGATTCATATATTTCTTAAACCGCCGGTAATTCTGAACCGTGCTCATGCCTACCATCTGAAAAAAGAAATTGATAGGGGTACAACTAAAATGAAAAAAAGATAACCACATCAAAAATAATATATTTTGATGGGAATCATATATTATATTGTCCACTATAGCTTGTCAAGTCAGGAAAATAATTTGTTAATGTACTTCTTTCTATTAAGATACAATAGGATAATAATTAATTTGTTACATAACTTTACATAGTATAAAAGGAGCAAGCAAGATCTACTTAGACATAAACTTATCTTTCGACTTTGAGGTTTCTTTGGTGTCCAAGCAATCCTAGACCTCACTTTTCGACAACATGTAGTTTTCTTCGTAAGTTTGGATCTTCACAACAACAATTCATAGAGTAAATAGAGGCAAAAAATCAATTTACAAAAAGAGAAGAAAAATAATCATCAAACAGGTACGGCCTCAATTATTCAGAAGAAAATTAACACGAGAACAACTATTTTTATTTCAATCAGAAGTTAAAATTGAGGGAGGCTTACACCAAAAGGGAAAAAAGGGACAACATACCTTAATGCATTGCCATCGAGAAGATTAAGCCATGGATACTACAATTGAAGGGGAAAAAAATAGTTTACTATGTAAACTTGTGAGAAACAATCAGAATTAAACTTTTCATAGAGATTCAAATGGAAGAGTAGCCTATTGACTAACCACCATCATAGTGTTACATGAGCAACCTACCCAAAACCATTAGAAGACATAAAAAAGAAGTCCTTAAGAAAAACAACATTGGCGGCCGCAAATAAAATTCATATACAAGTAAAGTAGTAAGAAAAGAATAATAATAGGGATTAGATTATCATGGATACCTTCCTTCTATTCTTCTTTAAGAGTGTTTGTATAGACTTTTGATACTAATTTAGAAGCCAGACGGGTAACATGGTTAGGGTGGATGATTTGGAGTGAGGTTTGACTATATACAAATTCTTAAATAAGATCGTATTTTTTTGAAAATAATCCACCACAACCGGCCAATTCTTAAAAACTAATATGGATAAATTACAAATTTCAAACTTGCAGATTTTTGTATACTTGGATTTGATTAGTTTAGATTTGGTTTATTTTGGTAAGATAAGATTTACTTTGCTAAAGTAACCAAAAGACAGAACAAATTTGATTGGAATTTGAAGATTTTATGGTTTGAAATTGAAAAATCTTCCAACAAAATTAGAAGATTAAGATCGGGATTAGATTTTGAGTGGTGATTTTGAGTTTTGATTGAGGAAATTGGGAATGTACGGTTGTTCATTTGGATGGGTTTCGATTTAACTAAAAGACAGAAAAAATATCAACTGAGTTTTTTTTAACTGAAGATATAATTTTTTTCATTTTAATAAATAAAAAAATAGAGAAAATTTTCACTCCTACGTGGCAAGTGAAAAACTCTCTCAGTTTCTTCTCTGGGTTTGCTATTATTAAGTTATATAGATATAGATATTAATGGCAATTATTAATCTCATACTTTTTTTTTGAAAAAGAATTTATATAACTTTTTTTTAAATATAATTAGGGCCAATACTTATATACTCCCTCTGTCCCAAAATTATGGTCAACTTTAAAATTACATTTTTAATACAATTTGAACTAAAAATAAAAACTCAAACTGGACAATAATTATGGGACATGTGGAATAACTCATATCAATAACATTGTCAAAAGTTAGGAACTGGTTCTGCTTTAGGGCATACATTTCGATCACAGCCACAGGTCAATATGATATCTACCTAGCAAGATGCGGAGTTGGATTACTGCAACTTGAGTCTGGACCTCTAAATTAAATGGACGCACTGTTGATTTTTTGCGGATGGATGACGATCTTTTGAGCCTTATCCTTATTGTTTGATGGTCCATCTTCCCCTGTTGGTGCATTTTTTTAAAAAATGCTAGGATTTGGTGAAAGCAAATTTGGACCAAAAATAGGCATATGCGCCTTTTGCATTTAATCATTTGGGACTATAGAAACTTGCCCAATTTGGAGACAATTTATCATAGGCATGCGCAGCTTTTTTTTTTGGTAGGATTCCACATTCCCATATTAAATGTGTTCGGTGGAAATGCGACTCTAAAAAGGCAGGAGCTTCAGGATTTGTTAGTAGAGAGCAAACGATCGAGCAAGTAATTAGGATAAGTTGAATAACATTATACTCCCTCCGTCCCATAATTATTATCCAGTTTTACTAAAATGAAAGATTTTATATTTGGTCAAACTTAATTATATTTTACCTTAAACAACCGGATATACCCCTACATAAGTAATTGTTTAACCATTAAGATTTTATGGATAATGTTTTTTACTAAGGACAAATGTGTAACTTGATCCATAAAAAGTCAAATTGGACAATAATTTTGGGACAAAATTTTTTTGTCAAAGTGGACAATAATTATGGGACGGAGGGAGTACTTTTTATGTCCTAAAAATAATTGTCTAATTTTTTTTTCCTAGCATATTTTGAAAAAGAGGAAATATGATTTGGTTGACGATATGGAGATTTGAGGTGAAACACTTAGTTTAAGAGACAAAAGAATGTCAAAAAAGTAAAATAAAATAAAAACAAAACAGACATAGCGAAAATATGTATAGTGAAGTGTTATTTCTCATCACAATTGGACGTTCTTAACACATTGTTACAAATATGAAGAGCAATAATAGAAAGGATGAAAAAAATAACGTTTAATACTAATTGATACAAGTGGCACCCAAAAAAAAAAAAAACTCCCTTAACAGAGTCTTTTGCTTTTTAATTTTTTTTTTTCAAAAGTCATATATCATTCGATCATTTTCATATGGAGTGAACCTCCAAAAATAATCATTACAATTTATTTATTCATATTAATTTTTGTAGTCGTGCTTCTGAAATTTACATTTATATTTTGATTTAGTAATAAGTTTACGTCCTAATACGCAATGCTGCACCATTTGGCCATTGCAGATATTTAGACGCTGTTTCTAGGAAATCAATGACGATATCTAGCAAGTATTCCATGTTAGTATATCGAGATAAAAATGAAAATTACAAGGGATAGTACTTAAAACTTAACCTAGTTTAGGTCTACCTAATAAAACATTTTTGTCACTTGTGATAGACTAGTCAAAGCATGCTTGCACTTGACCACCAAAACTTGGCTTGGCTTGGCTTACAGACACAATCCATAGTGGCTAACTTAAGCAATCCGTTAACGTTGTAGCTGACTTCTAGCTGTTTAGTTTTTTATTTTTTATTTTTTTCCCATGCCCTAAGCAAATTTAGCTGAAAAGTCAACAAAAACATTAGCCTCTTGACAAATACAAGTTGGTTGCCTAGTTTTAGGTTGGACAATCCAACATTTCCTCGATCTCTTTTAATGTCTCGTAATGCGGTCGAAGAGTATGTCGAACTTTTGAGGAGTAAATCAACTATTGACAGATGGTCTATTTGAACAATCATATAATTCTGTATCCACGCACTATTCGCTGCTTTGCAAACTAGCTTGTATTGCCTTGATCTATTACAGAATATTTAGACATATGTTTAATTAATTTGGATTAACGGCAGGCGTACGTACGTTAAAATTGGACAACCTCGTGATTCATCAATATAAGTAGTGCTTTAATTTTTAAAAAATGTTGTAAAAATAAAAACAAGATTAACCTCATTCTTTTTGCTTAAGAAAGTTCGTTAAAGAGTTATGATTATCCATAAATACACATTGGAATGTTGAGATCGTACGTTGAAGATAGGAATTTCATTTACTATAGTAAGTGCTTCTTCTGACATTTTTCACCGATTGCATAAAACCCTTCTAAACATTTTTTTTTTCTAAAAAAAAAAACCCCAAAAATCAAACAGAAGTCATGATTATAAATGAATTTCGTGCTAACAGTGGGGAGTTTTTTTCCTCGTGTACGTACAGTGTAGGATTTAATCTCTGTAGTGGAGATGTTTGATAATTGATCATTTTTGAAGATTCCGTCGTTGTAATTTGGTCTTACATCAAGAGTTATTTTTACCTCGTAATAAAAGAGATCAATCTTCGTTACAGCATTATGAAATGTACCTACATCACTTCGCTTATCACATTTCAGAGGTTTACAAATGATCATCCCATATTAAAGAATCAATCTTGACACATTCCACTAACAATCACATTAGGCGTATATTGAAATTCGGTTACACCAGTTTTTAACTATGGAAGAATTGGACTTACATCGAACGTTACACTTATGATGCAAGTTTAGCAATACTATAGAATTTGTCAATGTATGAAATTCTTTTGGTATAATAATTCCTTTATTTATTACATTTATGCGCACTTTTTGTGCTTCTCTCTAATAGAAACTATTTTGAGCGAGCGATTCATCCATATCCAAGCCTATTAACTAGACTACTTGAAATTATGAAAACTGGCTTGTTTTGATCATTAATTAACATGCATATTCTGAAGCTTTTAGTCTCTCTCTTTTTTTTTTTTTGAAAACGAAGCTTTTAGTCTTAGTGATAACATGTATTAGAGGTGGCCATTAATAATAATAAAAAAAAAGGTTTGTGCATGTAAGCGAAACGATCTAAACCTAAATTAACAATAAAAACTGAGACATAATCATAATACATCAACAAAAAAAATAAATAAATCCCTTGTAGGAAAGCTTTATTTAGATTTAATATTCTTCGTCCCAAAATGAATGTCTTATTTGAATTTTTATTTTAGTTGAAATTTAACTAATAAAAATAAAATTCAAAACCGAACAATCATTTTAAGGATGGATGGAGTACATAGCATGTCCTGATAATTCAGGAGACGGGGATTATGAGATTTAGTCCCGTGAGACACTGTTCGAAGAAGGAAATGAAGTACCAAGTTCCAGTTTGGTTAAGAGTAACAAAAGTATCGCCAGAGTATGTGCTATCAGCAAGGTATCCTCGACTATGATCACAATCAACATAACCAATAAGATCAACGACGAAAACAGCACTGACAAATGGGGTGTACTTGAATTCTGCACAAAAAAAAACCAATTATCAACTTAAATAGATAACAAATTGATTGAAAAATATATTATACGCAGCCAAAATGCAGAATTAAAAATGGTTTGAGGATGAGTGATATGAATTACCTAGGATATCACCAACATGAAATTGCTTCCCCACAGGATAAAGGGTAAGATTAACATCCAGGTTTCTCCAAAGGACTGTGTATGTAGTAGCAGAAATGGGGTCAGAAAGACCCAATATAAGGAGGAACAGACACACAAGAAATTTGGTGGTATTGACGGATTTTGTCATTTTTTCCCCTTCTAGTCTTTTACAAATAAAGCTGCTAAATATGCCTTTCAATTGAATGAGTGCATAAAGAGCTAGCCAAGTAAGTACATGTTATTGAGAAATAGAGAACATGATTTATAGAGGGAGCAAACACTTGTTTGTTCGTTATATGCCTGGCCCACCAAAGTGGCATTTTAAAATCTAGTTGTATTTTTAATGAAATACTCCATCCGTCCCATAATTATTATCCAGTTTTATTAAAATAACAGATTTTATTTTTGGTCAAACTTAACTATATTTTACCTTAAACAACCGGATATACCCCTACATAAGTAATTGTTTGACCACTAAGATTTTATGGATAATGTTTTTTACTAAGGACAAATGTGTAACTTGATCCATAAAAAATCAAATTGGGCAATAATTTTGGGACAAAATTTTTTGGGCAAAGTGGACAATAATTATGGGACGGAGGGAGTACTATTTATCGTAGTGAGATTTTTATCCAAAATCACTACAGTTCCTTTTGGAGCAGCTGTAGGACGAACGATCGCCTACAGGTGGTAGGATAGCGGTCAGGGAGCGTAAAACTCATCACTACATGTGGGCGTTGAGATCATAACATAGAAATAGTAAGTATTCTTGTTTTATGTCATTTCGAAAATAATCTATAATTTGAATTGATTTTGTTTCGTTGATTTCTCCTAAATTGCATTCCTTTATTCTAAAAATTTCATTTCAATTGAATTTTGGTTATTTATCATGCATGAGAAGTAAGTCTAGCTCATGAATTAGCAAATAATTAAGCTTTGCAGTCGTGCTCGTATTATATACGAACATTTGTTTTATTACTGAATCTAATTTGCTCAGACGAATGCAAAACCAAAAAAAAAAAAAAAAAGAAGAAGAAAAGGAAACAACTAGGCATTTTACACTTGAACTAGCTAACCTGAAGCCGCGCTTGTGCGGCGTCATAATTCTGCCTTGTATAAAATATACATGTCAAAGTATTATAAACCAAAAAGTGAGTTTCAGTTTTAGCCACAGCTGCATCTCAATAAGGCCTAGTGAATTCACACTTTAAGTTGTATCAGTGTGGAAAGTCAAGCCAAAATTTGTTTTTCAAATTACACCCTCTACCTACCAATTAGTAGAACTAATTCAAAATTAAACAAGATCTATCCTATGACACAATATCAGCAGTGATAGAGATAGTGAAAACTCATAGTGAAAACTAATAGTGACTAATGTGTACAATTTAATTAAGAGCAAAACTATAAATTTAATAGGAAAATATATAAGTTCTACGGCTAAGTGCCACCAAAATAGAGGGCCAACTAAGTCACTATATCTTTTCACTATATATTTGTCACTATGTTTATCATTTTCGGACACAATATCTCTACTCTAAGGAAAAAAAAAAGGAAACAAAACTAATTTGAAATTAAAAAAAAAAAACCAATAAGAGATTATATTCACATCCAAATAAAAAAGTAGACATCTCCTTTTATCCGATCTTATGTATGATATACAAAACTGATAACTATGATTCTAAATTGAAGTTAAGTGTATCGCAAAAAAAGATTTCTTGAAATTATAGACAAATATCTCCTTTATTCATTTTATATATGATATACAAAATTGACGTTCTTATTGGATTATCAAGAAATAAAAAAGATTTGAATTGGTTGGTGAAAGTTACAATAATTTTATCATACATTTTATTCACATATGTCCTATCTCCATTGAGAAATTAAACGGACATTTAAAAAATCCAATTCCTTCAAACTAACAATAGTAACTTGATGAAAAATAGAATTGGTCCTGAAAACTATAAACTGGTTATAAACATCCTGAATGGTGAAAAACTGGAACTGGAGAAATGTTTGAACTGGTTTTAAAAATCCTTAACTGGTGAATATCCTAAAATGGTCTTGACAATTGTGAATTGGTGAAAACCCTGAAATGGTCTAGCCTAAACTATTCATGATTAATGAAAATATATCTCCACATATTAGAAAGACATTTAGGGTATGTTTGGAAAATAAACAAAGCCTAAAATAGTTGAACGACATATAAACTATTTTTTGTACATATATTTGGGTAAACTTTTCAACTCCAAAAATATTAACAATGGATCTTATAGAAAGATCTCGTCACGTGAATTAATTTGATACATAGCATTTTTTTTAATTCTTTATATATTGAAAGATATGACTGTTTGAAAAAAATTGGAAAAAAGTCTAAAAGAAAAAACAGAAATTGAATTGAGGAGCTTAACTTCGTTGAAATTCACTCTTATTGACGTGCATGTATTACACGGGCTCACTAGGGAACAAATTTTGATGTGACAACACACGTAAAATGACGAAAAAACCTTGAGGTACTACCGATATTTACAGTCAAAATCGGATCAAATATTTATGAAATACTGCTACAGTTAAGGACATTTACAGTCATTTGTATCAAACTGGCCAAAAAGTCCACATAACTTCCCCTTATTTAGCTCTCTGACCAGCCCATTCTCATTGTATCTATTGCTACAGTTAAGGGCATCCACGGTCATTTTCACCCAAAACACATACTAACTCACCTTTTTCGTCACACACAAACTTAGCCTTTATATAGGTTAATAAAAATTTAAATTGTAAACTAGGGGTGGTTTCATTGATGTATAGGAGTACTTGAAATGTTAAGAATGTTAAGGCTTCTTTTTAATGGCAACACACAAGTAATTTTACGTTCAAAAGTGTGACGAATTCTTTGGAGATCTATATCTAAATTAATTGCGAAGAGTTGCATTAAGAATCAATGGTAGTTTCCTTCTACAAACAAGAACGGAAGCTTCACTCATCTCCAAATGCTTTGGAGTTGCTTCATTGGCCAATGCAAAATCGAATTTTAGCATTAAGATATTGTTGAGGTGAATACACAGTGCCAAGATAACTTCTCCTTTCATAACTAAATGGAACCAACTCAAGCAAACCCTACACCATTGTCGTTCGTCAAAACTTAAAAGGTGGCATATGTAACCTAATCAACAAGAAAAAAATCCTAGCCGCCTCCTCTATCTCCTCTCTTCCTCTCTCAACCCATCTCCGAAAAAACCAATCTTCCCTCATCTTCTCACCATGGGAGGATGGGGGGAAATAATTGTATTCTAATTTCATAAACACAGTTTTAGTTTTAGCGTTTAATAAACAAGATTATTTCCTTCTTTTTCATTGAAATTTTGTTCTTTCAATAGGTTATAGTCTATTGAGAGGGTAGGGTTCTTTTCGTTGTAGTTCCTTTGATAGATCGATCGCAATCTACTGGTTGATGGTAGTGTTTGTTTGTTGATGATAGGGTTCGTGACCTCGTTGGTGATGTTTGCAGATTTGCTCTGCATCGTTCGAGAAGATTCAGTCAACTTGGAACTTTTTAAATTGGAACTTTCATATGATAACTAGTGATATACCCTTAATCAGATCTAGAATCCGGTATGTGATATGTCCAGCGTTGACTAGGATAGATCTGTATAGATTTATCAAATAAAACAGTGTGATTGTACTAGAAGATTTATTAGAAGTTGTTAGTTGTGTTTTAGACTGTTTCTTTGTAATGTCAAACGCAATTAGACGATTTCCAACAAATTAATGAAAGTATATATTTTTTTTAAAAAAAGAATGGAATCAACTCAAAATCTTTTTCTTTAAGATTATTATAAAAAAAACTTTTCAACTCAAATTGATTAGCATTTTCCCAAAGTTTGGAGTCCCTTTAAATTCGAAACTCCTGAACAAACACCTGAGTTCCAGCAGAAATATGATACACCATAATATTGATATTGTTTATCGATTCTCGAGAAACAAGAGTTGGAATTGGAAGATGTATACAAAAATTCTATCTAATAACCCCCTTAAGATAAGGATATTTCTCTATATAATCCTTTGTTATGGGAATTCAATTCTTTGTCGAAACTCACCTCATCTTTTTTTTTTGTTTAATTTAACACATGGCATTTTTATATTTTTTTATTATTCAATTTTTGATAACCACCACATCAGTGAAGCAAAAGTTTACAAAACAGACAAGCAAGCCTCCTGATATTTTCCTTTTTAACTAGCTCAGAAAGTTCCCACTCTAGCAAAAAACAAAAACTTCCTAAATTAATCAAACAATGTTGTTTAGAACTCTATCTTTGCTTCAAAACAATTAGTCATTCATAAACTATCGACATCTGCTTAAAAAAAATCCAGGGAACAAAGTATTCAATTATGAGGTTACCTTCCATTAGCAAGTTATTTTTCCATTAGCAAGTTATTTTTAACTATTTATCTTCTTTCATTTTGAGTAGATATTTGGATGAGTACTCTAGAAATGAACAAATAGAAAACCTTGAAGACAACACAATTAGGACGCAATTCTTAGAGCCGCTAATGCATTCTAGACCAATTTTAATGGGGATGCATAATCCATACATCGAATAATTGTGGTTCGAAAGATATGAAAGTCTAACACGTGATTAAAAAGAACTAAAGAATGATGTGAAGTCAGATTCGTAGTTAACATCTCCTGGATAGGAAAACAAAGCTAATTGCATGTGTGATAGAAGTGTCTTGACAAATTGTCCTTAGTTGTAAATAACAGATGTCCTTAATTGTAAATGATAGATGCCTTTATTTGTAAATAATAGAAATACAGTCACACATGTATATATAGGTAGGGCGATTAGTCGGTTAGTCAGACAAAATAATTCGATAACTGTTTTTTGACTTTGGGAATAAGAAAAGAGGAAATTATCTCTGTTGTTCTTCTTCGAACCTTATTTCTCTTTGATCAATTACAGGAAAATATGGTTGATTTCTTCCGGTTCATGATGATATCATATCAGGATTGATCCTGCTCTGTTTTCCTTCTGTCGAATTACACTTTGTTTTTTGATTCTTCTGGTCAAATTTTGTAGATCTGACAAAATTTTAAACCCTAGAGTTCGTGTAAAGGTTCTAAAATTGATACAGATCGAAGCTAATTCAAGA